ATGATGATGATGATGACGATGATGATGATGATGATGATGATGATGATGATGATGATGACGCTGATGACGATGATGATGCTGCTGATGATGATGATGCTGATGTTGATGCTGATGCTGATGCTGCTGCTGATGATGATGATGGTGATTTGATGATGATGCTGATGCTGATGCTGATACTGATGCTGATGATGATGATTATGATGATGATGATCATGATGATGATGATGATGCTGATGATGATGAATGATGAGATGTGAGATGATGATGATGTGCTGGATGATGATATGATGATGATACTGATGCTGATGATGATGATGATGATGATGATGGCTGATGATGATGATGATGATGTGATGATGATGATGATGATGATGATGATGATGATGATGATGATGATGATGATGATGATGATGATGATGATGATGATGATGATGATGATGATGATGATGATGATGAGGATGATGATGATGATGATGATGATGATGCATGATGATGATGATGATGATGATGATGAGTGATGATGAGATGATGATGGATGATGATGATGATGATGGGATGATGATGAGGATGATGAGATGATGTGATGAAGAGGATGATGCGATATGATGATGGCATGATGATGATGATGATGATGATGATGATGATGATGATGATGATGATGTGATGATGGCGGATGATGTATGATTATGATGATGATGATGATGATGATGATGATGATGATGATGATGATGATGATGATGATGATGATGATGATGATGATGATGATGATGATGCTGCTGCTGCTGCTGCTGATGATGATGATGATGATGAGGAGGAGGAGGATGAGGAGGAGGATGGTGAGGAGGAGGATGACGAGGAGGAGGAGGAGGAGGAGGAGGAGGTGTAGGAGGAGGAGGAGGAGGAGGAGGAGGAGGAGGCGGGGGAGGGGGAGGAGGACAAGCTAGGTGCGCTCGCGTCATATCTGACATCCTACCCCTCCCTCCCATCCCTTACCATGGCGTAGATCCCCTCTCTACTCGCACAGTCGGATGTCGAGCAGGGCAATGATCCCGAAAGGGTACGCGATGCATTGTAGAGCACGGCATGGCATGGCGTAGAAGAGCACCGCAAAGCGTAGTATCAACCTAGCATTGCATTGCATGCCGTGGCATGGCACGGGAAATGACGCCAGCGCTGCAGCGGGAGCACGAGTCGAAACGAGCGGAAGCGCGGAAATGAGGCCAGCGCTGCAGCGGGAGCACGATTCGGAACGAGCGGAAGCACGGAAATGAGGCCAGCGCTGCAGCGGGAGCACGATTCGGAACGAGCGGGGCCCGAAAATGAGGCCGGCGCCTCAGCGAGAGCAGCACTTTGGAAAACAATGCAGGCGAAAACCCAACTCCGGGGAAACTTGTGTGTAAAAACAGTACGCGGGGGGGGGGTCGGACACTTTCAAACCGTCATCAGGGGAAGAGGGAGAGTAGTATTCATATTGAGTAATTGTGGAGGAGGAGGAAGACGAAGACGAAGAAGAGGAAGAGGAGGAGGTGGAGGAGGAGGAGGTTGATACTTCGAACTTTGCGTTTGCGTTTTTTCGCCATTATTGGGCCTCTAGCGGGCTTCTCGTGTACACGGTTGGATTCCGGATGCTGCTGATGCTGATGTTGATGATGATGATGCTGATGCTGCTGCTGATGATGATGATGATGCTGATTATGATGATGCTCATGATGCTGATGCTGATGCTTATTCTGATGATGATGACGATGCTGATCTGATGATGATGATGCTGATGATGATGCTGATGATGCTGATGCTGCTGCTGATGACGGTGACGATGATGTTGAAGCTGATTCTGATGATGATGATGATGCTGATGATGCTGATGCTGATGCTGATGGTGATGATGATGCTGTGCTTGATGATGCTGCTGCTGCTCATTATTATGGTGATGATGAGGGTGATGATGCTGAGGATGATGGGGATGATAGTGGTGGTGGTGGTGGTGGTTATGTGATGGTGATGACGATCATATTCTAGCGAAATCTGTATTCAGAGGAGAAGGAGCATGAGGAGATGCTGTCGTTTTACTGTTTCGGTTCCCCTGGGCCATGCTGTGTTTGATAGACACTTGTTGTGGATACAGAACACTGCTGCTCCTCTCCTTCATCCTCCTGCCTCCTCCCTTCCTCCTCGCTTCCTCCTCGCTTCCTCTTCGCGCCTTTTTCGTTTTTCCTCCCTCGCCCTCCCCTTGTGCGGGTAGTGGTGCAGCCGTCGGCGCTTTCGTGAGCTCCTGGGAGGTCCAGCGGAGTGCGGCCTTCTGGGCATCCAATCGGGACCTCGCCCTCCCTGGATGCTTCCAAGCAGGGCTCGACTTGAGTGGTGTTTTGGCGATTTCCATGGCTTTTTTCGTTTCGACTTCGTTTTGACGCGGGAAAGCGAAACCAACACGAACACGAAAAACACTGTTTAGGTCGATCCCTGTCCCTGGGTGCTGCCAAGGGCGCAACTGTTGCCACCTCCGTGAGCTGCTCGGAGGTCCAGCGGAGTGCGGTCTTACGGGCACCCAGCCAGGATCGTGCCCCCCCTGGTTCCGCCAAGGTCGCAACTCTCGCCTCCTTCGTGAGCTCCCGGGAGGTCCAGCGGAGTGTGGTCTCGCGGGGGTGCCTCGTTGGCGCTGCCAACTGCGTACCCGTTCGCATTCTCATGAGCTCCTGGGGGTGATTCATGTCCTCGGTTGGAATTAGAGCATTTGTCGGTGAGCTGCCGGGAGTTCCAGCGTGGTGCTTTGCTGCGCGGACTCAAGTCAGACGTCCCACTCCCTGGGCGCTGCCAACAGTCCAGCTGGGCGGCACGTCCGAGATTATTTGGGGGGTCCAGCGGGATGCGGAGTACTGCTCTCCTCCCTACAGCGCTGCTATCCTGTCGTTGGGCGACGCTGTCGTGAGCTCCTGGGAGGCGCATAGGAGTGTCGTCCTGCTGGGGTCCAAACTATCATTCTCCTCTCTGTGTGGTGATTGTTTTGCCGAGCGGCGCGGGCCCTCGCACCCCTTCCCCACCCACGGAGTGGACCCTGGCTGTTGCCGGCGCCTGTCTCAAGCAGGTTGTCGTCGTCGTCGTCGTCCTCGTCGTCGTCGTTGTCGTTGTCGTCGTCGTTGTCGTCGTTGTTGTTGTTGTTGTTGTTGATGATGTTGTTGTTGTTATTGTTGTTGTTGTTGTTGTTGTTGTTGTTGTTGTTGTTGTTGTTGTTGTTGTTGTTGTTGTTGTTGTTAATGTTGTTGTTGAACTCATTATTGAAGAATCGTTCTTGTTGATCCCCCCTTCCGGTGCACATGTTTTTTTTGTTTTTTCAATTGAAGTGCCCTTCCTGGCGCTCGCACCCTGTTTTTTATCAGGGAAAGTTTTCCTCCTCAAACTGTGCCCCCCCCAGTTTACAACAACAACGGCTCTCGCTTGATACTTCACTCCGGTCCCCCACTTCCGCTTGAGACTTCCTCGCAATTTACTCAAGAATCGCGCTCCCGCCTGAGATTTCCTTGCAATTTACTCAGGCGCCGCGCTCTTGCTATTCAGGAATCGCGCGTTCGCTGTGGATATCTTCAAATTTATCTAGGAATCGCTCTCTCGCTGGAAATTTCCTGGTTAATCACGCAGAACTCACGATCGACCCGCCTGGTTTACAACGACAATAGCGGTTCCACCTGCTACTTCCTCACAGTGTGCAATTTGGGCTCTCGCGCGGGACTCCCTCACAATTCATGAAAGAATCGCGCTCTCGCGTGGGAATTCCTTTGAATTTATTCAGACGCCGCGCCTTCGACACTCAGAAATCAGGCTCTCGCTGTGGATTTCCCCACGATTAACGCGCTATCGCTCATGACTTCCTCGCGATTCATGCAGGACCCTCGCTTCAGCAACCCGCCTGGCCAGTCTGTCGACCTGGCCGCCTGAGCCCGCTTTCCCGACCCGCCCTTAAAGGGTTCGTCCGCCCGATCTGCCCATTTGATTCTGCCACGTGTTTTCTGCTCCTAGCTCCCCTCCTGCTAATTTCTCTCGTGGTCCATCCTCCTCCTTCCCCCTGTGTCCCTTCCTTCCATCCGTCCTCTCTTCCCTTGCCCCAGGGGCTGCACGAGATACACGCTGCAGGTAAGAAAGATATAGATACCCCCCAAGGGGGTACGATCGAAGACGAAGAGGGCGGGTATCGCGGGTTTGGGTTATACGTGTTGAATGACACGCAAGCCGATAAGAACGAACAGTCTTAAATTGATTGTTGTTGTTGCTGTTGTTGTTGCTGTTGTCGTTGTGGTTGTTGCTGCTGCCTCTGCTGCTGTTGCTGTTGCTGTTGCTGTTGTTGTTGTTGTTGATGTTGTTGTGGTTGTTGTGGTTGTTGTGGTTGTTGTTGTAGTTGTTGTAGTTGTTGTTGTTGTTGTTGTTGTTGTTGTTGTGGTCGTCGTTGTCGTTGTTGTTGTTGTTGCTGTTGTTGTGGTTGTTGTTGTTGTTGCTGCTGCTGCTGCTGCTGTTGTTGTTGTTGTTGCTTTTTTTGTTGTTGTTTTGGTTTTTGTTTTTGTTGTTGCTGTTGCTGTTGCTGTTGTGGTTATGGGTGTGGTTGTGGTTGCTGTTGCTGTTGCTGTTGCTGTTGTTGTTGTTGTTGTTGTTGTTGTTGTTGTTGTTGTTGTTGTTGTTGTTGTTGTGTTTTTGATGTTCTTCTGCAGATAGGCTGGCCTCGTCCGTCATAGCTCCCTACCTTAGAATTGGTGCAAGGCGCCCTCCCTCTACTGTGCCTCTGCGTGATCTTGCGTATTCCAATGGATCGCCGGGAAATCGCAACGGAATTTTTGTGTATGCCGACGGACTCCTTGGGGGGTATATTGATGTTTTCCTTGGGTCTGACACTGAATTCATTGGGTATGGCAATGTATTTCTTGGATGTGGCAGTGGATTCCCTTAGAACTCAAATGCAGTGGAGTGAGGTCCAACGGAGTCCTATGGGTTATCCCGATGGAGTCCAGTTGGTATTCCAGCGGAGTTCAATGTAGTTCATGGATAATCAATCCAATGAAGTCCCATGGAGGTTTATGAGTTGTAATAGTGTCCGATTCGGCCCTACAGAGACCAATGGAGTCCAATGGAGTTGGCCGGACCAATTGAGTCCCATAGATTGCCGTGGAATGCAATGGATTTCGTTGTTGCGCGACGTAGTCCGATGGAGTCCGCCTGACCACAGAGTTCAAGAGAGTCTTATGGGTTCCGTGCAGCGCAATCGAGTCCTACGGGTTGTATCCGTGTTCACTGGCGTCGAAAAGAGTGCTACGATGGAGACCGATGGGGTCCAGTGGAGCCCAGTGGGCCAATGGAGTCCTGTGCATAGCATGGTCGCCTGCGCACGCGCACGAGTTTGTGGTCTCTGCCTCATCTACCCTACCAGGATCAAGGGCTCCCACGAGGGCGCGAAGTTATTCGCGCTTCGCGCTTCGCGGTCCTCGTTCCTTCTCCCCCTCCTCCCTCCTCCTCCTCGTCCTCCTTTTCTCCCTTTGGGGGGGCGGCGCGAGAGCGCGAAGTTATTCGCGCTTCGCGCTTCGCGGAGCGCGAAGCGCGAAGTTGGGAGCCCTAGAGGATGGAGTACTGGCAGCTGGAGTTACAGCGGGCCCACTGCTGGCGAGACGGAGCCGAGATCGTCCACCCTTCCTTCGCTCTCCGTCTGCTCGGTGGTCCGAGTGCCCGTCCCGCGTGTCCGCCCTCGGTTGCGCCCCTCGTTCCCCAGACCCCTCAAGTCGTGTTTTTTTTTTTTTTTTTTTTTTTTTTTTTTTTTTTTTTTTTTTTTTTTTTTTTTTTTTTTTTTTTTTTTTTTTTTTTTTTTTTTTTTTTTTTTTTTTTAAAAAAAAAAATATTATATATATATGTATATAATATATTTTTCTCTCTCACAGCGTCGACCCCCAGAGGTCTGGACCCCTGCCCCAAGACCGGCTCTGGATCCCGAGCAGCTATTCGACGGCCCCCCTGGGCCAAGGGAAGGGCCCTTGGAGGTCGAAAGTGACGAAAAGCATTTCGTTGTGATTCTGTTCACCTCAGGGCGCCAACATCGCAGAGCGGATCTCTGTCGGGAAATAATGGGATGGACCTGGACTGTCTTGGAGCGCTTCGTTTTGGATTTCGAAGCGAATTTCGTGCGGACTTGTTTGGGCCAGGAGCGAAAATTGCGAACACTCCACGCGAAAGTTACCTCGTATTTTCGCTCGCCGCCTCGGGGTCTTGCACCTGGCAGACATCCACGCAACATATCCGTCGTGATTTGTCCGCGGCGCGAGGGGGGTCTGCGCCTGCCTCCGCGCCTCCGTCCTTCGTGCGGGCGGCGGGCTGCTTGGCCCCCCCTGGCCCCGGGCGGCGGGCGGCCTGGCCCCCAGGAGGAGGAGGAGGAGGAGGAGGAGGAGGAGGAGGAGGAGGAGGAGGAGGAGAGGAGGAGGAGGAGGAAGGAGGAGGAGGAGGAGGAGGAGGAGGAGGAGGAGGAGGAGGAGGAAGAGGAGGAGGAGGAGGTGGAGGAGGTGGAGCTCTTGCCCAGCCTCGAGCCCTCGGGCCCTCGCCCGTGCCCCGTGCCCCGCAGCTCGGGACGCGCAGCCGGGGCGACCGTGGGCCTCCGAGGAGGAAGAGGTACCATTCCTCCTTCCTCCCATTCCTCCCCTCCTCCTCCTCTCCTCCTCTCCGCCTCCTCCTCCTCCCGCCCCTCCTCCTCCTTCCTCTCGTTCCTTCTCCTCCATCCGCCCTTCAGCCCCCCCCCTCCTCCCCTCCTGCCCCCTCACTTCCCTTCGCCGCTGCCTTGCCTTCGTTTTTTTTTTTTTTTTTTGTTTTCTCTCTCTCTCTCTCTCTCTTCTTTTTGGCCTCCTGGGAGGCCCTCGTCGCCGCCGCTGGATTCCCCTCGCAGTCCTGGCCAGAACGCACCCCGGGAGGTCCGGGGAGCAGCGGCATCGGCACCTCTTGGCTTCACCCAGGGCCACCACCCCCGTGCTCCGTGCCCGCGCTCGCGATGACGTGCAGCCGAGGCGACCGTGGGCCACCACCCAGGCTCTTCGGCCCCGGCTGGCCGCGCCGACGCGCTCATCCTGAAATTCTTGCCGCGGTGAGTGCCCTCCTCTCCCCTCCGGTCCTTCGCGGCCGCCCCTCCCCGCTTGCTGTGTCTCTTGCAGCCAGACAAATCGTATGCTGAGCGCCCCCGGCTCCTCGAGCGCGTGTGCGGATTGCCTCTGCCGCGCTGCGGCGGAAGTATTGGCCTGTGGTGCCAGCGTCCCTTCGCCCCGTCGCCTGCGAAGTGAGATGCTGCTCCCTTGCTCCGTCCTGGCGGGCCAGGGAGCGGGGCCCCTGCGGAGTCCCAGCAGAGTGCAGTGGTGTCCCACGGACGGCCATGGAGTCCTCTGGTCCCCCTGGGGCGCAGTGGCTTCCAATGTCCTGTGGGGTCCGCTGGAGTTCAATGGGGTCCAATGAACTTTCGTACAGTCCAATGCAGTTCAATGGGGTCCAGTGGACTCCCGCAGAGTCCAATGGAGTCCAATTGAGTCCACTGGAGTCCAGTGGAATGCAATTCAGTCCATTGGAGACCAATGGAGTGCGATGTTTTCCACTGGGGTCCAATGGAGGCCAAGGGAGTCCTTCAGTCAATTCACTCCGTCTCTTTTGGAGTCGGCGCTGGTGGATATTGGTCCAGGGGCCCCTGGGCTGGGACCACGACCGCAGTAGGGGGGGGGCTGGGGCCCCTGGACCAGGACCCCGGATCCGAGCACAAGATCGCCCCCCTTCCCCCCAGCGGTCAGGGGCGGCCTGACCGACCTTCAGCAAACCGTCCCCCTCCGTGGCTTCCCCCCTCGCCTAGGCCCCAGGACGTAGGTATGCGGCCGCATGGGAGCTCGAAAGGCAAGGGGGACGTCACAGAAGGGGATGGTGTGCCAGGGGTCGGTTGGGCCGCGCCCGGCAGCGGACCAAGACAGTCCCCAAACTCACCGAGCGCGTTCCACTACTCGCAAAGTGCCTACTCGCAAACGTCAGAAAAGATATGTCTTACTCGACGTAATTCATCGTAGATCCCGCACGGTGGATCAAGGCCATTTGCGAGTAGTTACTTTGCGAGTAGTGGAACGCGCTCGTCTACAAACGGCGGCTGGAAGTGGAACCGAACACCGCCCGGCAAGGCTGCAGGACTGCTCCCGAGGCGCCCCCCGAGTGGCCCATGGCGCCAAGAGAGGTGCCACGAGGATGTTCGTTGGTTTCCAATTGGCATCGCTCGGACGTGTATTTTTCCTTCGGCGAGGACCATCGAGGATCATCCTTGATCGTGTGGCGAAAAAACCACGCACGAAACCGACAAAAAACACAGGGAATGGACGTCCGATCGATGGCCAGTGGATGTCTTAGCCTCGCCGCCATTTCAGCCCCGAGTGCGTCCAAGACGGCCCAAAAGGCCCCGAAGGCGCGGCTCCAAGTGGTCCCGCGACGGTACCCAGCGGGGCCCCCAGGACGGTCCAGGAAGGCGCCAAGAGGGCTCGAGGAGACCCCCCGCGAGATCTCCAAGGCGGCTTCGAGGGGCCCCAGACGGCCCGAGGGGCCCAAGATTGTCCAAGAGGGCCCCAAGACGCCCCAAGGAAGCTCTAGGATGCCCCCGTGAAGGCCCAAGAGGGCCCCCTCGAAGGCCCCGAGACGCCCCCAAGACGGCCCAAGCGGGCCCTCAGAATTCAACCACAGTCGAGCGAGCTTTCTCATGATGTCGGCCACACTTGCGTCGCGTTTGCACAGCATTCTGCCACGTGGACTCCTTCTACAGGCATGAGGGCGGCGGTGGGTGACTCGTCGTAGGCGTCTTCGATACTTTCATTGCTATCCTCCTCTTCTTTACTCTTCCCTCAGTCGTCCTCGTTGTTTTTCCCTTCGCCTTCGCACTATCACCACTTCTAGTCTTGCAGATTATGGCTCCTTCTCCTGTATCTTATGCTTTGTGATCACAAAAGAGCGCCAAAAGGATTGCTCACATCGTTTGAATTAGTCCACGCCCCATTCATCTCGACTGCAGTAGCTCCACTCCTCCTCCTCCTCCTCCTGCCCCTCCTGCCCCTCCTCCCCCTCCTCCCCCCCCTCCTCCCCTCCCCGTCCTGCCTCTCCCCCCGCACCGGCCGGCAGGCGAGGGTCCCGTTGCGAGGGGGCGGGGAGCGGGGGGCGGCGGCCCGTCCAGGCCGTCTTCTCCAGGACCGCCGCCCAGGTGCTGGAGGATGCCCTGCAGGCCGCCGCAGCTGCCGCGCCGGGGGGCACCCGCTGCTCCTGGAGGGCCGCCGCGGGCGAGCGGCTCGCGTGGCCACGTTCGTGCCTCCGCGGTCGGCTGTGCCCCGGCACGCGCGCGCGCGCGCGCGTGCAGCAGCTGCGCGCTCTGAGTGCGCTCCGCCGCCCGCGGCGTCGCTCCCCTGCCCGCCCGCGCCCCTCCGTCTCCTGCCGTGCCCGGATCGGCCCCGCAGTGCCCCTTCGGCTGCCTCCGACCGCGGCGTGGCCCCGCGCTGCTGCGACCCAGAAGTCTTCGCGCGCTGGATGCCGAGGCGCGATCCCGTGGACATGCGACCCCACGGACACGCCCCGCGCAGGGCGTTCTCGCAGAGGTGCCCTGTGTCCGTGGGGTCGCGGCCGGAGCGTCTGGGCGCGGGGCCGCGGCTGTAGATCCCTGGTGCGGAGGTGTTGTGTGGTCGCGGAGCGTGAGCAACCTGTGCGTCGCTCCCCTGTCGTGTTTCGCTTGCAAGAGGGGGCAGTCGCCAGAGCAGACGCCATTGCTGTCGTGGCCGATGTGCCACCTGCTCGCCCCTGGAGATCTTCGGCGGCGAGGGAGGGGGAACGTGAGAAGGAGAAGGCCTTGGCAGAAGGCGGCGCGACTTTCCAGAAGCCCTCGCGCCTTTGCAAAGTTTTCTGTGTCTTCGGGGAACAGGAAACTTCTCAGATGTCCAGGGGACATCCGAGCCTTCTGAGGAGGCCCGGCACTTCTCACTTCTCCCTTGGGCTCGCCCTTGGAGACCTGTCCACGGCGGCGCCAGGAAAGGAGAAAAAAGATGTGGACCCCCGCCCCGCCCACGCATTCAGTCGGTGCCCTCAGCTGGCCGGCGGTGTGTGCTGGGTTTGGTCCCCCGATTTGTGCCGTCGGCTCCGCCCACACGGGCCTGCACTGTGGTTCGGCGCGAGCGCGCCAGTAGTCTTAGGTCGGGCATGTCCCCCTACAGGCGGATCTTCCAATGGTCATAAAGTGCCCAAAATGATCGAACATAGTCGAACTCTTTTTGAATGCTCGATCGAACATAGTCGAACTCTTTTTGACTGCTCCTCCTCTACGAGGGACGTGCCCGACTTGACAGTAGTCATGGGGACATCTAGCAGGAACACCTCGGGCCAGCCTTGGCTCTTCGCCTGGCGAATCCTCTTTTGCCCACCAGCGGCCGAGACCGAGCTCGGCCCTCCGCTCCTGCAGCGCGGCCCGAGGGCGCAGGCCCGCGAGACGCCGACGCGGCGGCGGCACGGGCGCGGGCGCTCGAGGCGGAACGCCGCCAGCGGCCCAGACTCGGCCCAAACCGAGGAGGCAGGAGGCAGGAGGAGGAGGAGGAGGAGGAGGAGGAGGAGGAGGAGGAGGAGGAGGAGGAGGAGGAGGAGGAGGAGGAGGAGGAGGAGGAGGAGGAGGAGGAGAGGAGGAGGAGGAGGAGGAGGAGGAGGAGGAGGAGGAGGAGGAGGAGGAGGAGGAGGAGGAGGAGGAGGAGGAGGCGGGCATGCGGGCTGGGGCGCCGCCGGCCGCCGCGGCGCCGCAGCCGGCGCGGCCTGCGGCACCGCTGGTGCAGGCCGACGGGGCGGTGCAATACGGCGAGCTCCAGCGGATGGAGTTCTGGGACGACGTCAGCTGGGACTGCCTCCACGACAGGTGCGGCACCATCTTTTGTCGTCCCGGAGGCGCTCCGCTATGCCATAGCGGATTTCCGGAAGGTGCTGTGCGACCTCCGTCTTGGCGGCGGCCGGGGGCGAGAGCGAGGTCCGCGGCCTGAAGGCGCTCCTCTTCTCGGACCGCCTCCTCTTCGCTGCGTCGCGGAAGCGGCGGGGAGGGACCAGGGGCCAGAAGGGGGAGACAGTGGCGCGCACGTTGGCCAGGCGGATCCGGCTGATCTGGGAGGGGTCGTGGGACATCTTGGCAGGAGGCGGAGCTCCCGCTGCGCACCGGCGGCGGCGTGGCACTCACAGCAACGCAAAGCTTGGCGAAAGACGTCCAGGCGATCGAGGAGGCCCTTGCTGACGAGGACGTGCGGGAGGCGATGCAGGTGCTTGACGGGAAGCTGCCGCTCGCCCCAGACGACAAGGCGCGCCGTTGCCTCCCGGCGCTGTTCCCGAGGGCGGCGGCCCAGCCAGAGCCGCGCAGCCTACGGATGATGACGTCGACCGTTTCCTGGTACAGCTGCGCCTGGCGTACCTCCACGCTCCGAGGCACCGCGGCGCGGGCCCAGGAGGCGCCCGGGGAGAGCACTGGGCATGGATGCCGCAACACGAAGAGGCGTGGGACAGCTCTGAGCCTGCAGCTCGGCGAGGCTCCGCGCGAGGCCGTGCAGGCTTGGCTGGGTGCCCGCGTCCTGGCCGGGGACCGGGAGGAGCACGGCAAGGTCCGGCCGTTTGCCCTGGGCATCTTCCACCGCCGCGCCGCTTCCGGAGCGGTGAGCAGGGTGTTCCGGGGCAGGGTGGCGGCGGCCCTCGGCGACGGCGAATATTCCGTGGGCAACGCGAGGGGAGCGGAGTTCATGCACAAAGCAGCGCTGCTTGACTTCGACAGCCGGCCGGGGTGCTGCAAGCTGAGCTTGGACGCCAGCAGCGCACGCAACGAACACGACCGGGCCGCTGCAGCGCGGGCCGTCCAGGCGATGGTCCCCGAGCTGCTGCCGTGGGCCCACGGCGGTCTGAGCGCGGCGGCCGTGCACGTGCATGTGGCGCAGGACGGCAGCCGCGCGCTGCTCCCGAAGGAGAGGGGGGGCGACCAAGGCGACGCGCTCACCAACCAGCTGTTCCCACTCTGCTACCAGCACGTGGCGGACTCGGTGGTGGCCGCGGCCGGGACGGCGACCGAGCTGGGACGCAGCTACTGCTACCAAGACGACCTGGATGTGATCTGCGAGCCGGCGGTGGCGGCGCAGACGGACGCGGCGTTCGTCGCCGCGTGTGCCCAGGTTGGCCTCCGCGGCAACCCGGCCAAGACCAAGTTCAGCCCAGGGCGCCAGGTGGGCGTGGCAGCGCTGCCTGCGCACCCAGAGGTGGAGCCGCGGGCCCTCGTGCTCCGCCACGGTGCGCTGCCCGCCGCGCCGGGGGTGCTGGTTGCCCCAGCCGCGCAGCCAGCCGACGGCAGTATGCTGGCGCAGGGGGGCCCGGAGGTGACCCGCCTGGCGGCTTCCCGGGCGCGAGTGTACTCCCGCTTGAGAGAGCTCCGGGCCACTGGGCTGGACGCGCAGCAGGCCCTCGCGCTGCTGCGAGCCAGGGCGAGCTCTGACTACACCTTCCTCGCGCGCACCTGCGGCATCCCGACGACAGAAGCCCGCGCCCTGGACGCGGCGCTCCTGGCGGAGGTGCAGCGCGTGCGCGGCCGGCCGCTGGAGGGCCTGAGCAGGAGGAAGCTCTGCCTCGCGGGAAAGGGCGGCGGACTGGGGCTGCAGAGCGTCGAGCTCGCAGCGGCGGCGGCCCAGGCGGCGTCGTGGCACCTCTGCCTCCCGCACTGCCTGCGCAGACTTGGGCTGGACGGGGCAGGCGCGCTGGCCAGCGTGGGCCCCTGGGCGCGGAGGTGCCTCCCGGAGGCGACGCGGGTCCTCCAGGCTGCTCTTCAGGACGAGACCGCCCGCGTGGGCGACGAGGGGCTCGCAGCCCCGCAGCGCGCTCTGGCTTCGGCCCCCCTTGCTGCGGCTGCGCGCGCCGTCGCCAACGAGGCGGGCTACGACCCTTTGGCAGCGGCGGCCCTGCACAGCTCAGGCGGCCCCGGGGCGAGCGCCTGGCTGGGCCCGCCTTCCCGGCCCGAGCGCCGCCTCTCAGACGCGCAGTTCGGCGTCGCGCTGGGCGTGCGCCTCGGCGAGGACCTGCCCTGCTGCGCGGGGGTGTGTCAGCACAGGCACCCCGGCGGGAGCGTGTGCGGAGCTGTGCTGGGCCCGAAGGGGCAGCGTGCGCGGTCCTGCGCGGTGGGCGGGTGGCTCGTCCGCCGCCGCGACGCCGGCTGCGCCGTGCTGGCGGCCTGGTGTGAGGAAATGCACGGTGCACCAGGAGATGGTGATGCCGCGCGCCGCAGCCAGCCGGCCCGAGGCTCGAATGGACCTGATAATCCACTCTCCCCGGGTAGCTGTCCCCATGCGGGTGGACCTCGCCGTGGTCGGCGCGCTGTCCCAGAACGCGCTGGAGCGCGGGTCAGCCCGGCGCGCGGGCGCCGCGGCCGCGGCGGCCGAGAACGACGAGCGCGCGCGCTACCCTGGGCTGAGGATGGTCCCTTTCGCCGTCGAGGACCGCGGCAGGCTCGGGGAGGACGCCCTGGCCCTGGTGCGCCTGCTGGCCCCGCCGCCCGGTGACGACGGGCGGTCGGCGGCCATCCGCTGGCTGCGCCAGGCGCTGGGCAGCGTCGCAGCGCAGGGCTTGGCGAGGGCCCCGGGCTGGGCGCTGAGCGCGCCGGGCCAGACGAGGGCGCGGCGCGGCGACCGCGGGAAGGCTCTGCTCGCCTGCTGGCGGCGCTGGGGCTGGGGCTCTGCTGGGCGGGGCGCAGGCGGCGGGGCTGGCCGCGGCCGGCGGCGCCTGGGCCTGGCTGGGGCTGCGCGCAGGCGGCGGCGGGGGCGCCCCGGCGGGCTGGCGCGGCGGCGAGGCCAGAGCTCGCGCGGCGGCGCTGGGCAGGCGCGGCGGCGGAGCCGGCGCTGGCGCGGCGGCCGGAGCTCTGGCAGGCCGGCAGGCTGCCGCCAGAGCCGCCCGGGCCGCGGGCGGCGGCAGGCGGGCGCGGGGCTGAGGCGAGGAGGAGGAGGGGGCGGCTGCGCGGGGCGACTGGCTGGCGGCGCCGCGCGGGCCAGCCCGTCGGGAAGCTGGCCTACTTTGTCCTCGCGGGGCTCGCCGAGCTCCCGTGTATCGGGTGTTAGAGGCCCCGGCCGGCAGACCCCTCCCCCCTGGGAGTGGCCGCTGTCTCAGACAGCCGGCCACCCCCGGGGGAGCCGTCCCCGGCTACGGAGGAGTCGGCCGGCTCCCGACCAAAGAGCGCCGGCCGCGCGGGGAAGACTCGCGGCCGCCTGCTGGAGGGAGGAGGAGGAGGAGGAGGAGGAGGAGGAGGAGGAGGAAGGAGGCAGGAGGAGGAGGAGGAGGAGGAGGAGGAGGAGGGAGGAGGAGGAGGAGGAGGGGAGGAGGAGGAGGAGGCAGGGAGGGAGGAGGAGGTGGCGCTGATTTTCTTTTATCCGCGGACGCGTGTCGTAGCGGACCTGGGCTCCGCGCGCGCGTGCGTAGTGGGTGGTGGTGCGCGTGCGTGCGTGCGTGCGTGTGTGCGTGTGTGGTGTGTGGTGGTGGTGGTGGTGGTGGTGGTGGTGGTGGTGGTGGTGGTGGTGGTGGTGGTGGTGGTGGTGGTGCGGCGCGGTGGTGGCGGGCGGATGGGCGCGCGAGAAAGAGGCCCGCGCTGGGGCGAGAACGCCATCCTGAACGACGGAGGCCAAACACCGATCCGAAAATGAGGCCCACGCTGCAGCGGGAGCACGATTCGGAACGATTCGGGAGCAGAAGTGAGGCCGGCGCCTCAGCGAGAGCAGCATTTTGAAAAACAAACGCAAGCGAAAACCCGTTTCCCGGGAATCCTGTGTGTGAAAACAGCACGCGGGGGGGTGTCGGATATCTTCGGGACGCCATCAGGGGAAGTGGGAGAGTATTTTCATATGGTGTAATTGTGGAGGAGGAGGAAACAGGAGGAGGAGGAGGAGGAGGAGGAGGAGGAGGAGGAGGAGGAGGAGGAGGAGGAGGAGGAGGAGGATGAACGGGCTGCCCAATCCGAAAGCCGCGATCCTCCAAGGCTGAACCATCTGCGCCGTGTCAGAAGCCAATGCCGACGCGATCGCGACGCGAGCCCGCTGCATGCCAGACCTGCCGCGATATGGCCGAAGCGTGCGCTCCGCCCCCCCCCCCCCCCCTTCCTCGGCGCGCCGACGCTGGGGTTCCCGTGCTGCAAGTCCCCTCGTGGGGCCGTCCTGGGCAGTTCGGGTATCCCAAAGCCGTGTGGTGACGGACCGCGTGGTGACCTCGAAATCCCAAGAGACCTCAAGGCGCGGTCCGTCACCGCGCGGTTCTGGGACTTCGGGTGCCGTGGTCGCCCGGGCCTTCCTCGGAGAGCGACCCGAGTCCCACAGCCGTGCGGTGACACCGACCTCCCACGGACTCACCACGCGGTGTGGTCACCGCTCCGTCTGGGCGCCTCCGAGCAGTCACAGTGTCATCAGGGGAGGCCCTGGTGGAGGTGTCGCGGGGCTCTCCTGGAGAGAGAATGGACGCGGCCGCAGTGATAGCGTGCTACGTCCAGGACCTTTGGGCGGACTGCAACGCAGGGGGGCAATGCACGTGTGGGGATCGACGATCGCAGGAAGGTGGCCCTACAGGGGCCCCAGCTGGCCCCTACAGACTGCCGCCGTGGGCCCAAGAGGTGCACGAAAGCGTCTATCCTCCGCTGGCGGATGCCTGGAAACCTGCTGTGTGCTCTCGTGGGCGCGCCCGGGCGCCCCCGCTCCCCGCACCAGGACGGTTCTCGGCGTGCTGTGTGTGACAGCAGGTGCGTGCATGCCATAATGCTGTGGAGAGGGCGACATGCACTGGTGATGACGGCGCGCTCGGGTGCTCCGCTCGGGGTTCATCGATCACTCGTCGCCTGTTGTCGCTTTCAGCCATGACCGCGGCCTCTCGGTATGTGATGCTGCCACCCGCGTAGGTCGCCGTCCTGGGTGGCATTGCGCCCGCACATTCATGATGCCACCAGCCAGCCGGAGCCACCAGACGCGCGTCGCATCTCTGACGATTATGTTGATGATGATGATGATGATGATGATGATGATGATGATGATGATGATGTTGATGATGAGGATGCTGATGCTGATGATGCTGATGATGCTGCTGCTGATGATTATGATGATGGTGATGATGATGATGTTGCTGATGCTGATGCTGATGCTGATGATGCTGCCGCTGATGATGATGCTTATGATGATGCTGTTGATGCTGATGCTGCTGATGATGATGCTGATGATGATTATGCTGCTGCTACTGATGCTGCTGGTGATGATGGTAACGGTGGTAATGACGATGATGATGATGATGATGATGATGATGATGATGATGATGATGATGCTGATGCTGACGATGATGATGATGATGATGATGATGATGATGATGATGATGATGATGATGATGATGCTGATGCTGCTGATGATGATGATGTTTAATGCTGCTGCTGATGATGATGATGACGATGTTGCTGCTGATGATGATGATGATGACGATTCTGATGATTTTTATGATGATGCTGATGATGTTGTTGATGATGATGATGACGATGATGATGATGATGATGATGATGATGATGATGATGATGATGATTGTGATGCTGATGATGATGATGATGATGATGATGATGATGATGATGCTGATGCTGATGCTGATGCTGATGCTGATGATGATGATGATGATGATGATGATGATGATGATGATGATGATGATGATCATGATGAGGATGATGATTATTGTTATTGTTATTGTTATTGTTATCTTTATTTTTTATTGTTATTATTATTAGTATTATCATGCTGCTGCTGCTGCTTATGCTGCTGCTGATGATAATGATGATGATGATGAGGAGGAGGCGGAGGAGCAGTGGGAGGAAGAGGAGGGGGAGGGGAGTAGGAGCCAGGCCACCCTCAGGGGCGCAACGGCAACGGCAACCCCGCTTCGCGGCGTTGTGGCCTGGGCCCAGGAGACGTCCTTCTCACGGGCGGCGCCGCGATTGCGCAAAGGCAGCCGCGCTTTCGCGCGCGCCTCGCGCGGCGCGATGCGCGAAGATGGGTGACCTGGAGGTGGAGGAGGAGTGACCACGAGGCGACCTGGAGGTGGAGTGACCTGGACGTGCAGGGAGGAGGGACCACAAGGCGACCTCTGGAGGTGGAGCGACCTGGCGGTGGGTTTGTGTGTTCATTCCACAGCCCGCCTGATCCCTGGGCTTCGCCCTCTCCCGGCCGCGCGAGGCCCCGCCTTCTTCCGCCCTTGCTCTGCTAATGAAAGCTGTGCGCGTCCCGCTTAGCTTTTTCAGCGGTAGTCGTGGAAATAGTAGTGGTCGTACTAGTCGTATTAGTACTAGGACTAGTTGTAGCAGTAGTAGTAGTAGTGGTAGTAGTGGTAGTCGTAATAGTAGTAGCAGTAGTAGTAGTAGTAGTAGTAGTCGCCGTAGCAGTAGCAGTAGTAGTAGTAGTAGTAGTAGTAGTAGTAGTAGTGGTAGTAGTAGTAGTAGTAGTAGTAGTAGTAGTAGTAGTAGTAGTAGTAGTAGTAGTAGTGGTAGTGGTAGTAGTAGTAGTAGTATTAGTAGTAGCAGTAGTAGCTGCCCAGCGCTCCCCAGCGCTTCAATGATTGTTTGGCCGGGCTGAGCGGGTAGGGGTGTCACGAGCGGCCTGTGGCCTCTGGCCAGGCGCTCCCAGGCGCTCCCAGGCGCTCCCAAGCGCCCTTAAGCGCTCCCACGCGCTCCAGGAGCGCTCGCTCTCGCCCTGCAGATCAAAACAAGTTGTCTCCACAGCGTCGACCCCCACGGGCCTGCACCCCGCCCCCGGGGGGCTGGCTTCTCGAACCCCGGCTGCTTCTCGGGGGCCCCAGGGCCCAGCGAGGGTCGGGGGCGGAAAAGAGGGGGGTGATGACTACACCTTATGCGATGCTTAAGAAAACCTAAGTTTTCGGCCAGAGTCTCGATTATTCTTAACGTTTCAATGTAAATCCCAAGATTTTGATAGAAGTTCTGGGTTTTATTCAATTTCTGAGACTATGAATTTCTTAACCCATGATTTCTTAAGCATTTCGCAGGGTGTAGGGGGGGGTGGATATCATGGCGTGGGCCATGATGTTTCCCCAGATTTCATGGCGCCCCTTCTTATTTCATGACGTCCCTGGCCCCCCCGCTGGGCCGCGCACGTGCCGCCGGTCACGATCTGCCCCCCCCCCCCCCTTGGACACCCCCCTCTTGGCCGCTCCCGAGAGGGCCCCAGCGGCAGAGCAGTGGCAAGCACAAAGAGCCCCGCCAGGCGAGCCGCGGCCCCAGAGGCCCCGACCGCAGCCCCGGGCGCAGTCTCGCGCCCTGGACCTCTTTCTTGAGCGCCTCGGGGCCCGACCACGGCCCCCGAGGTCCACAAGATTCAGGAGGGGAAAAAACACAGGCACAAGTAATCGTCGACTCCCAGGAAAGTGTGGGGAAATACGGGGAGTGGGGGGGAAGACAAAAAACCAGAAGGGACAGGAAAATAATATGGGGGATCCTGTTATTTGTGCGTATTTATTTGTGTGTCCTTGGGCCCCTTCAAAGATCGTAGAACATCTGCCAGATTGAAACAGGGGGCGGGGCGCAGTCGGCAGAGCGGTGGGTGCCCCCTCGTGAGGCCCCCGGGGGTCTCGGCCCCCCCCCCGGGCCGGCTTTTCGCCCCTGGCCGCTTTGTGGCGGTGCCTGGGCCCGGCGAGGGCCCCCGGAGGCCGGAAACGGCAATCAAGCTCCCGGCGCGTGTGTCAGGAGGGGAGACAACACACAGACAGAAGTAATCCCAGGAAGGTATGGGGAAACACGTGAAGTGGGGGGGAAGACGAGAACCCAGAAGGTACGGGAAAATATGGGGAATAATCCTGGGATTTGTGGATATCTATTTGTGTGCCCCAGGGCCCCTGCAGTGTGGGAGGGGAGGGCGGGCGGGGTCGGCGCTTTCGCGAGGCGGCCTTCGACCTGATCGGCGACCAGCGGATCGCGAAGCCGGGCGACCTGTCGGCCGAGCAGGCGTGTGCGGGAGCGGCGCGCGCGGGCGAGTCGCGCCTCTTCTGCCCCTGGCTCGAACGCAGAACGAGGTGTGTGTGTGTACGCCTTGGGCGATGCTTAAGAAAACTTGAGTTTTCGGCCAGAGTCTCGATTATTCTTAATATTTCAATGTAAATCCTAAGATTTTGATGGAAATTGTGGGTTTTTATTCGAGTTCTGAGACCATGAATTTCTTAACCCATGATTTCTTAACCATTTCGCGTGGTGTGTGTGTGTGTGTGTGTGTGTGTGTGTCTGGCCAATTCGCTACGACGGTGCCCCCGTTTAGTTATAGCTTCTTCCGCCGGCGCAGGCGACCCCTGCCTAGCCGCCGACGCAAAAGTGTTTTTTTGGGTGTGTGGGGGCGACGAGGGAGGTGGCAGGGAACAGGGAGCAGGGATCAGCAAGAAGGAGGAGGGAGGAGGAGGGAGAGAGGGAGGAGGGAGAGAGGGAGGAAGAGGGAGGAGGGGTAGTGAGGGAGGGAGGGAGGGAGGGAGGGAGGGAGGGAGCGAGGGAGGGAGGGAGGAGGAGGAGGAGGAGGAGGAGGAGGAGGAGGAGGAGGAGGAGGAGGACCATTGGAAACCCAAGACTCATCATTGATCTTGCAACAAGCCCTCCCTCCAAGTTCCGTCTCCATCGGCCCCATACAAGGACATTTTTTCATTGCCAGAAGTGCCCCGTTGAAAGACAACCGTCTGAGAGTCCTCAAGCGTGCAACAACACAACTCTTTGGCATTCAACGCCTCGAATCACCGTTACTGCTGCGCCTTGACGATCCTGCATCGTGCCCGAACACCGTTCCTGGGACTTCAGCACCGCGAATCAACATGACTGTTGCGCCCTGACATTCCTAAATCGTGCAGGATCACCATTGCTGGGACATCAGCCATAATAATTCCGAAGACTTTTAAGACGAATGTGCGCGGCGGTAGGGCGAGAGCCACATTCTGAAAAGGACCCGCTTTCCATCCAGGGATTCCTTGCAATTTGTCAAGAAGAGTATGCACGGCGCTATGGCAAGAAACCACCCGCCTGCCATCCGTGAAACTCTGACAAGCCTATAGGGCGAATGTGCGTGATGCTGAGGCGGTAACCACATTTGAAGTCGGTCCGCCTTGCATCCGCGATCCTACTACTGCTCACTTTTAAGACGAATGTGCGCGGCGCTAGGGCAAGAGCCACATAGGACCCGCAATCCACCTGGGAAACTATTCCAAACTTTTAAGACGAGTGTGCGCGACGCCACCCGCCCTCCATCCGTGAAGTGTCTCCTCCATCCACTGTCATAATTGGTTTACGCTCCGCGTGTCCCCACCAGCCCGATTAGAAACGTTACCCGTGGGAGGTGATGGAAAACGGGAGGAAGAGACACATATGGTGAACCGAAGCGGGCAAGGAAAGGAGGGGGAGGCGCGTGTGGAGCCGTCTTGAAGGTCCGTTTTGGAGCATCGGAGGCAACAGGAGGAGGAGGACAACGAGGACAGGAACTCTTTAAGCCATCTTGGGGTCTCCTTGGGGCATTCCCAGGGTCCTCTTGGGGTTTGCTTTCGGTCCTCGTGTGGCTCTCTTGGGGCTCTTTTGGAAGGCCAGAGGTCCTCTTAGGGCTCGGTCACGGTGTCTTGGGGCCCTCTTGCCCTCTTGGGGCCCTCTTGGGGGCTCTGTATGGGCTCTTGGGGTCACCTTGTAGGGCGTCGATCAGGGAAGGGGGGGTCCTCGATTTACCTTCCTCCCCCCCCCTTCCCCACTCCCCCTTTGGGGCCATCAAACTCGCTTCTTGGGGCGCTCTTGGGGCGCTCTTGTGCCGATCTTGGGCGCTCTTGGGGCTGTTTTCGGGGCCTTTGGATGTTCTGCCATTTTGGGGGCCCAACGGCGGGAACGCACACCTTATTGATTTCCCACGTGATGTTGACGTATTTTGGCCTCTTGGGGTGCCCCGAGGTGGTTCGGTGGCGCTCCATTTGGGGCCACGAGACGTGCTAGAGGTGTGCCGAACTGGAGCGGGGCCACCATGCGAACGTCGCCACTGAGGCCTTCGGTGGAGCTCCCTATGGGGCCACGAAGCGCGTGAGGGGTATGCCGAAAGGTGTGTGTGTGTGCGTGTGTGTGCGTGTGTGTGCGCGTGTGTATGTCTGTGTTTGTGTGTGCGCGTGTGTGTGTGTGTGTGTGTGTGTGTGTGTGTGTATGTGCGTGTGTGTGTGTGTGTGTGTGTGTGTGTGTGTGTGTATGTGGGGGTGGGGTGGGGTGGGGGGGGGCGCATGCGAATGTTGCCACTGTGGCCTTCGGTTGAGCTCCGTATGGGGCCACGAAGCGCGTGAGGGATGTGCCGAGATGGGCGGGAGGAGAAACACGTGATCACAGCCAGTGGGGCTTTCGGTAGAGCTCCCAATGGGGCCACGAAACGCTGTACTTGGTGGCTCGGGCGTATGTGATCACTGTCACTGGGGCCTTCGATGAGGCTTCCTATGGGGCCACGAAGCGCCGTACTTGGTTGCGCGGGACGCATGTGGTCACAACCATTGGGGCCTTCGGTGAAACTTGGAGCTCCCTATGGGGCCACGAAGTGCCGTACTGTATGGCGCGGGACGCATGCGGTCACAGCCACTGGGGCCTTCGGTGGAGCTCCCTATGGGGCCACGACGCGCCGTACTGGGTGGCGCGGACGCATGTGGTTCGCGGGGCGCATGCGGTCACAGCCGCTGGAGCCTTCTGTGGGGGTCTCTGTGGGGTCACGAAGCGCCGTACTGGGTGGCGCGGGACGCATGTGGTCACAGCCCTTGGGCCTTCGGCGGAGCTCCGTCCGCATGTGGCCACGAAGCGCCGTACTGGTTGGCGCGGGACGCATGCGGTCACAGCCACTGGGGCCTTCGGTGGAGCTCCCTATGAGGCTACGAAGCGCCGTGACGGGTGGCGCGGGACGAAGTTGTCACAGCCACTAGGGCCTTCGGTGGAGCTCCCTATGGGACCACGAATTGCCGTACTGGGTGGCGCGGGACGCTTGTAGTGAAAGCCATTGGGACCTTCGGTGAAGCTCTGAGACCACGAAGCGCCGTACTGAGCACCGCGTGACGCATGTGTTCACAGCCACTGGGGCCTTCGGTGGAGCTCAGTATGGGGCCACGAAGCGCTGGGTCGTGTGGCGCGGGGTGCATGCGGTCACAATTAGTGGGGCCGTCGGTGGGGCTCTACATGGGGCCACGACGCGCCGTACTGAGTGGCGCTTGGACGCATGTGGTCACAGCCACTGGGGCCTTCGGTGGAGCTCCCTATGGGGCCACGACGCGCTCTGCTGGGTGGCGCTTGGACGCATGTAGTCCCAGCCACTGGGGCCTTCGGTGGAGCCTCGTATGGGACCACGAAGCGCCGTGCTGGGTGGCGCGGGACGCATGCGGTCACAGCCACTGGGGCCTTTGGTGGAGCTCCCATATGAGGCCACGAAGCGCCGTAGTGGGTGCGGAGGGCAGATGCAGGGATGGCAGGAGGGGGGAGGAGGGGGAAGGAGGAAGGAGGAGAGGGGGCACGGGGCGTTGTCTCTTCAAACGAGGACCCAACACCGGGTTGGTTCGGAAACATCTCAAGGATGAGAGGGGAACGGGACCCCTCCCCGAAAAGAAGAGGGTCTTGGAAGAGGAATCAAAGAATTCGTTAGGCCACCTACGCCCTACGGGCTGGTGGTTTTTCAGCCTCAGAATCGTTAGTGGTGAAGAAGCCTCGGATGAAACGCCCTGCCCGCCATACCGACACGTCTCGGGGTGCGACAGGGAGGAGTTATTCATAAGAAAAATAATGGAGGACGAGGAGGGAGGAACATGAGGAGGGAGGAGGAAGAAAGCGGGAGGGAGGGAGGGAGGGAGGGAGGAGGAGGAGGATGAGGAGGAGGATGAGGAGGACGTGTAGGAGGATGAGGAGGATGAGGAGGATGAGGAGGAGGAGGAGGAGGAACATGAGGAGGAGGCGGAGGAGAGAGGGGTGGCAGGGAGTGAGGGAGGGAGGGAGGGAGGGTGGGAGGGAGGAGGAGGAGGATTAGGACGTGGATGATGATGCTGCTGATGATGATGATGAGGATGAGGATGAGGATGATGATGATGCTGATGATGATGATGATGGTGACGGTGATGATGTTAATGATGATGCTGCTGATGTTGATGACGATGATCATGATGATGATGATGCTCAGGGTGATGATGATGCTGATGCAGATGATGATGATGATGATGATGATGATGATGATGATGCTGGTGATGATGATCATGATGGTGATGATGATGCTGCTGATGATGCTGCTGCTGATGATGCTGATGATACTGAGGACGATGATGATGATACTGATGGCGCTGATGATGATGATGATGCTGATGATGATGATGATGATGATGATGATGATGATGATGGTGGTGGTGGTGGTGGTGGTGGTGGTGATGATGGTGGTGGTGGTGGTGATGATGATGCTGCTGATGAAGATGAGCTGACGATGACGATGATGCATGATGATGATGATGATGATGATGATGATGATGATGATGATGATGATGATGATGATGATGCTGATGATGATGGTGATGATGATGACGATGCTGATGATGATGCTGATTCTTGATGATGATGATGTGGGTGGTGATGATGATGATGATGTGGTGGTGGTGGTGGTGATGAATGATGATGATGCTGATGCTGCTGCTGCTGCGGATGATGATGGATGATGATGATGATGATGATGATGATGATGATGATGATGATGATGATGATGATGATGATGATGATGATGATGATTGATGATGATGATGATGATGATGATGATGATGATGACGATGACGATGACGATGACGATGATGATGATGGGGGATGGATGGAGGGATGGATAGGAGGAGGAGGAGGAGAGGAGGAGGAGGGGAGAAGGAGGAAGAGAGATGAGGTGGGAGGATGAGGAGGGAGGGAACAGCAGCAGCAGCAGGAGGAGAAGGAGGAGGAAGGGGAGGAGGAGGAGGAGGAAGGGGAGGAGGAGGAGGAGGAGGAGGAGGAGGAGGAGGAGGAGGAGGAGGAGGAGGAGGAGGAGGATGAGGATGAGATGAGGGGATGAAGAAGAGGAGGAGGGATGAGGGAGGATGGACCAGGGAGTATGGACGGGGGGAGGAGGATGTGCAGGACGCCCAGGACTTGTCCGAACTTCAAAGCCTCCAGAATCTTCACTCTCATCCTTCTCCTTCTCCCTCTTCCCCTTCTTGCTTCCGCCCTCCCTCCGGCCTCCCTTCCTCCTCCTCCTTTCCCTCACTCATTCTCGCTCTCTTACTCCTTCTGCTTTTTCTCCTTCTCCTCCTCCTCCTCCTCCTCCTCCTCCTCGCCTCGCTCCTCTTGTCCTTCTCTGCAGTTGCGCAACATGAGTGTACATGGGTGCCCTTCCCTTCACTCCTGGCAGTGTATTGTGCGGGCGCACCTCCTATGGTTACTGCATGGGTTTTCCTCCAGTCGGACCGCCTTCGGTCCTTCAAAAGGGATGCTCCCGCTGCAGCGTTGGCAATCTTTCGGGATCGGTGCGTTGCTCCCGTCGTTCAGATTTGCGCTCTTGTCCCATCGCGGGCACCATTTGTTGATCCGATTCTTTCCTCGCTGTTGCCGTCCCCCTCCTTTTACATCTCCGCCTTCCCCTGATCCTCTTGCTCCTCCTACTCCCCTTGCTCCTTCCTGCTGCTGGTGTTTCTCCATCATCCTCATCCGCCTCCTCCTCCTCATCCTCCTCCTGCCCGTTTTCGTCGTCGTCGTCGTCTTCCTCCTCCTCCTCCTCCTCCATTTCACGGATGGCGGGCGGGCCGTTTTCAAACCACATTTCACGCCGTAGTGCGGCGGACATTCGTCTTAAACATTTGCAATACTTGCACGGATGGAGAGCGGGTTGTTTTCAACATGTGGTTCTCGCCGTAGCGCCGCGCACATTCGTTTGAAAAGCTTGCAAGCGCGTCATGGATGGAGAGCGGGCCGTATTCAAAACGTGGCTCTCTCCTACGCGCCGCACGCCTTCGTCTGAAAGAAATGCAACCCTTTCACGGGTGGAGCGCGGCTTCTGTTCAAAATGTGGCGCTCGCCCCAGTGCCGCACGCATTCGTCTGAAAAGTTTGCAGGAGCTTCACAGATGGAGGGGGGGGGGTCCTTTTCAAAATGTGGCTCTCGCCTTAGCGCCGCGCACATTCGTTTTCTTTCCCAACCCTCCTGTGTGTTGGGTCATCGTTTTGAACTCGCAGCGCCGCGCGTCTCCTTCTTTCCTTCTTTCCTCCCCCCCCCATCCTCCCGCCTCTCCTCTTCCTCTTCACTCCTCCTTCCACGGCTTCCTCATTCTCTTCTCTCCTTTCCCCATCACCATCACCACCATCATCACCATCATCACCATCATCACCATCATCACCATCATCACCATCATCACCACCACCATCATCCTCACCACCGTCATCACCACCACCATCATCATCACCAACACCATCGCCACCCCCATCATCATTATCAACACCGTTTCGGCACACTCCTCACACGTTTCGCGGCCCCATAGGGATCTCCACTGATGGCTCCTGTGGCTGCGTCCGCATGGTGATTCGGGTCCCTTCTGGCACACCCCTCACACGCTTCGTGGCCCCATAGGGGGCTCCCCAGACGGCCACAGTGGCTGCGTCCGCATGGTGACTCGGGTCCCTTCGGGCACACCCCTCACACGTTTCGTGGCCTCATAGGAGCTCCACCGAAGGCCCCCGTGGCTGCGTCCGCATGGTGACTCGGGTCCTTTTTTGGCACACCCCTCACACGTTTCGCGGCCCCATAGGGAGCCCCGCCAAAGACCCCAGTGGTTGCGTCCGCATGGTGACTCGGGCCTCTTCTGGCACACCCCTCACACGTTTCGTGGCCCCATAGGGAGCCCCACCGAAGGCCCCAGTGGTTGCGTCCGCATGGTGACTCGGGTCCCTTCTGGCACACCCCTTACACGTTTCGTGGCCCCACAGGGAGCTCCCCAGAAGGCCACAGCGGCTGCGTCCGCATGGTGACTCGGGCGACCTTCTGGCACACCCCTCGCACGTTTCGTGTCTCCATAAAGGGGGTTCCCCAGAAGGCCCGTCCGCATGGTGACTCGGGTCCTTTGTGGCACACTCACGTTTCGTGGCCCCAAAGGGAGATCCCCAGAAGGCCCCAGTGGCAGGCCTCACGCGCAGCTCCACCCACTTATTTCGGCGCACCCCTCCCACGTTTCGTGGCCCCATAGGGAGCTCCACGGAAGGACCCAGTGGCAGGGTTCGCATGCAGTTTCGCCCTTATTTCGGCGCATGCCTCACGCGGGTCTTGGCCACATCGGTAGCTCCACCGAAGGGCCCAGTGGCAGGGTTCGCATGCAGTTTCACCCTCATTTCGGCGCACCCCCAACTTGTGCATCGAGTGGTCCTCGTTTCCACGCGCGTAAAAGAGGTCGGGTTCTTCGCCAGGGTATTTCTTCCAGACTTCACGACAGTTTGAAGGATTCTCATGTTTAACGTCCCAGCAATGGTGTTGTGACGTGATGTCCGACTGTCAGGAACGCGGATTCGTGATGTTGAAGTCACAGGAATGGTGTTCTAGCACGATTCGGGATCGTCAAAACGCAACAGTAACGGTGATTCGCGGCGTTGAAGTCCCAGGACTGGTGCTCTGGCACAGCTCATGAATTTCAAACGATTCTCTTCCAGCGGGGCACTTCCCACAGTGAACATAAGTCGTCGTATGGAGTCTATGAAGAGAGAACCTGGAGGGAGGGTCTATGGCAATTTACACTGGTCCTCCTCCTCCTCCTCCTCCTCCTCCTCCTCCTCGTCATCATCAACATCAGCAACAGCGACAACGACAACGACAACGACAAAGTCAACGACAACGACAACAGCAGGGACGGCAGCCGCAGCAACAACAACAACGAGAACACCACCAACAACATTAACAGCATCAGCAATACCAGCAGCAGCAACAACACCGCCAGAGCAACCACCAACACACCGGCACATCAACAACACCAACACCAGCAACACACCAACAACAACATCAACAACAGACGCAACACCAACAAAGACGACGACAACGATAACGATAACGACAACAACAGCAGCAACAGCAGCAACAGCAGCAGCATTCACCACACCAACGACAACAACATCAACAACATCAGCAACAGCAGCAACACGAACAATAACACCGCCCACCACCAACAACGACAAAACAACAACAACACCAATCACATCAACATTAACAACATCAACAATATCCGCAGCAACACCGACGACGACAACGACGACGACAACAACAATACTATTGACGACAACAGTAGCAACAACACCAACACAACATGACAACACTCCCTCCCCTCCCCTCCCCTCCCCTCCCCTCCCCTCCCCTCCCCTCCCCTCCCCTCCCATCCTCCGCCCTGCCCTCCCCCCTCCCCTCCCCTCCCCTCCCCTCCCCTCCCCTCCCTCCCCCCTCCCTCCCTCCCCTTCCCCTCCCCTCCCTCTTCTCCCCCCCCTCCCTCGCCTCCTTCCCCTCCCCTCTCCTCCCCTCCCCTGTCTTCTCCTGTCCCTTCCCCGCCCCTCCCTCTTTCTATTGCTCCCCCCCTCCCTCCACCTCTCCCTCCCCCTCTCTCTCTCCCTCGCTCTCTCTCTTCCCCCTTCTCTCCCTCCTCCCCCCCTTCTTCGCCTTCCCTCGCATCTCCTCCCGCGTCCTCCTCCCTCGCTCCTCCTCGCTCCCTCCTCCCTCCATATCCCCCCTCCCCCGCCCTCGCTGCGCGGGCTCGGGGTCACTGCTGCCGCAGCTCCTCTCTCTCCCCTCCTCGGGCGGGACCGGCGAGGAGGGAGGACCTCGGAGGCTGGGCGGCGACCGACGGCGGAGGCGCACCTCGCCCTGCGCCGGCTCCACATGGATGCCCAGAGCCGCACCGCCAGCGCGGACGAGGCGACCAGGGTGCCCCTGGGGCGGCCTGCAAAAGGGGTCGGCGGGTGCGGGGGCGCGGCAGCGGGCGCGCGAGCGGGGGTCGGTGTTCGGGGATCGGGGTGCCAGGGGGAGGGGAGGAAGCGGATGAGGAGGAGGTTCGAGGTTTGAGCACCGAGGGGAGGAGAAGGATGACGAGATGGAGGAGTATGGAGGGAGGGGGGGAGGCTTTGGTCGGCTTTTGAGGTTTGGGGTGGGGGGTTGGGGTCCTCCTCCTCCTTCTCCTCCTCCTCCTCATGCTGCTCATCCTGCTGCTCCTCCTTCAGCTCCTCTTTCTTCTCCTGCTGCTGCTCCAGCTCCTCCTACTCGTCCTGCTCCTCCTGCTCTTCCTTTTTCACCTGCTCATCATCTTTCTCATCCGCACGCAGCTCTTCCTTTTTGACTGCGCATAACACGTTTGTTTTTGGTTGGTTTTAATTCAAATTGTCGCAATTAAACGACGAATCACAACCCTCCCAGACTAGCAGCTTTAGACCCCCCCAGACCAGCCATGAAAGGGCGGCCTTTGTACAGACCCCCCTGGAACCCTCCAAGACCGCTCAAATCAGACCCCCCCCGAAATCAGACCCCCTCCTTTCCATAACAAAATCCTGAGTATTGTGTGTGTGTGTGTGTGTGTGTGTGTGTGTGTTGTTTTTGTGTTCCAGGTCCACTATGAAACGCGTCCGCAGATAGAGAAAAAACAGCGCAATGCGAAGGAATGGGTGGGAGGGGTAGGATGTGAGACATGGCGCGAGCGCACCTAGCTTGTCCTCTTTCTCTCTCCTCTCTCTCCTCTCTCCGCCTCCTCCTCCTCCTCCTCGTCCTCCTCTTCCTTCCCATCCTCATCATTCCCCTCCTCATTCCTCATCTCTATCTTCCTGCTGCTCCTTCCCCCCCTCCTTCGCCTCCTCCTTCTGTTCCTCCTTCCTCCCATCCTCTCTCTTCCTCCTCTTACCCCCTCCCCCTCCTCCCGCTCGCGGGGGGGGGCCCTCCTCATTTTTTATTGCGAAGGCCTTACGGCCGGTGCTGCCGACCCTGAAGTGAGACGACGACGATGACGGCGGCGGCGACGACGACGCTGACGTGGGTCAGAGTCCTCAGGGATGTTTTTTTTTGTTGGAGCGCTTTCGGGGGGTTCTGGGCGGCAGTTTTGGAGCCTCTTGGGAGCCATTTGAGGAGCCTCGTGGGGGCCACTTGGGTCCTCCTGGGGGCAGTCTTGGGGGCTTCTTGGGCCGTCTTGGGGCGATCTTGGGGGCCACGTAGGCCGTCTTGGAGCGTCGGGAAGCCGTCTTGGAGCGTTTCAACGGCAAACAGTTTCCTTCGCGCAACTCTCTGTGATTGATAAGCTATCTAACTTCGACCCCTTGGAATCAATCTTCTTCCTTTTCTGTGCTCGACTGTTTTCTTCTTGTTCTGCTTGGCCACGGGCCCGGCCCCACCAGACGCAGGGGGCACGAGAGCGCTCCTGGCACGGGGACCCCTCTTACTCTTACCCGCACGCCGGACGACAAAGCTCGTGAAGGGGTCTCACCAGAAGTGCTCGCGCCCATCGCTGTGACAGACAGCGTACGTGGTGGAGCCGGTACAACGCTGGCTGCTGACCCCACCTATTTCCGCATGTTCTTCCAGGACGGCCTGATGGGCTCTGCCTGGGGCGACTGGGCGCTCTACAGAGGATCCCCGCTGCGCGCGTTCGAGAACGAGAAGTTGCCAGTGATCACCCTCTAGCAGTGCTAGTCCGATCTGATCAACGGATCGTCATCCCCCTTGCGTTGCTTGCCATGTCCTCAGTACAGCAGGGAGAATTCGGCCGCAGAGTGTTTCGGCGCTGATTCGCGCAAGGGCCAGGACGAGTGGTGATGGAGCAGGCCAGCAGCTCTGCCGTCAACAGAGCTCCTGCAGCTGTCGCTCCTGCTCCGCCCCTTCCGTCCTCCCTTGGCCCATCCTCATCGTGCATCACCTCGTCTCCGTCGTGTCGGCGGCTGCCGCCGTTCTCTCTGCCTGGACCTGGCGCCCCGTCGAGGCGCACGCGCGGCCAACCTGGTATCCTAGAACCCTGGAGTCGTTCACGCCCCTCCGCCTTCTCCTTGGCCCCCCCTCTTCCGTCTGCTCCGCCTCGCTCCATCTGGTTGCGCTGCCCCGCACGTCCGCCACCGCGCTGTGGTTGGGTTGGTGGGCCAGGGGAGGGGCAGGATTGAGGAGGGTTGAGCCGGAGGAGCAGGAGGAGGGAGGGGGAAGCAAGAGCAGGGAGGAGGGAGGAGCAGAGTAAGAAGGAGGAGGAGGAGGAGGTGGAGGAGGAGGAGGACCAGTGTAAACCCAAGATTCATCAACGATGTTGGAATAAACCCTCCTTCGAAGCTTCCTCCTGTAGGCCTCCACAAAGGGTTAATATCCACTGAGGGAAGTGCCTCGTTGGGAGACAACCGTTTGAAGACCCTGAAGCGTGCCCAAACACCAGTCTCGGGACTTCAACGCCACGGATGAACCTGATTGTTGCGTCTTGACGACTGTGAATCGCGCCAGAACGCCCTTCTAGGGAATTCCACGCCGTGAATCGACGTAAATGTTGCGTCCTCACACTCCAGAGCCTTTCCAACCATTACGTTCGGTACGTTTACCATGGGGATGCGTGCAACGCAGGTTCACTTGTAGAACGAAGGTGCGCAGCCGCTAAGGCGAGCGCCGCATGATATGAAAACCAGTTGCTCTGGATCCGTGAAGCCCTTGCACCTTTTGACGACGACTGTGCGCGAAACTAGGGTGGGAACCACATAGAAAACGATCCGCCCTCCATCTGGGAAGCTTTTGAATCTTTCTCCAATGAGTGTGTGCGGCGCTAATTTTTTTCCAATGAATGTGTGCGGCGCTAAGGCGATAGCCGCATTTAGAAATCGACCCGCCCTCAATCCGTGAAGCCCCTGCATTTTTGCATAAAACTGTGCGCGGCGCTAAGGCGATAGCCACATTTTGGACGCGACCCGCCCTCAATCCGGGAAGCCCTTGCATTTTTTCCATAACAATGTGCGCGGCGCTAGGGCGAAAACCACATTTTGGAAGCGACCCGCCCTCCATCTGTGACATTGTTGTCCATTTGTTAGCTTCATGGCCATAAATGGTGAGGGCGTCTCAGGCGAAACGCCCGGCCCGCCCTTTCGACCGGCCTCGGGGTGCGACAGGGAGGAGTTCTCTGTACGGAAAAGGGAGGAGGAGGAGGAGGAGGAGGAGGAGGAGGAGGAGGAGGAGGAGGAGGAGGAGGAGGAGGAGGAGGAGGAGGAGGAGGAGGAGGAGGAGGCGGTGATGGTGGAGGAAGGGGCGATGGGGAGGAGGAGGAGGAGGTGGTAGCAGGGGAGTGGTGTCCCGCTCGAGAACTCGTTGTCTGTTGTGGTTCGCTTCTGCCATCGGACTGCCAGTCGTCCAGGCGCCCAGGGCAGCGCATCTGCGCGTGCGGTCCTCGTTGCAGGGGCCGCCCAGCAGAGCTCTTGCCTCGCCGGGGGGGGCGGGAGCGGCGGCAGCGCCGCCACAGAGCTGGACTTGGGAGCGAGTGCGAGGGCAGCAGCGAGGGGACCTCGATGTGCTGGGCCCCAGAGCTGGGGCCACCCCCAGGCAGCTGGGGGCCGTGAGCGGGAGTCTGGCGCCACTCGCAGCGATTCCTTCTCCGAGCCGTGTCCGCGGAGGGGCCTTGAGCAGCCGCTGCTCTGGACCACCCCGCGATTTCAGGAATACGTCCAAGGCCGCCCCCAAGAACTTATGTAAACTTCCCATGCGCCGCGACGTAATCAATTCCTTCCCTCCCTCTCTCTCCTTTTGCTCCCCCCCTCCCTCCCTCCCTCCTCCTTCCCGCCTTTCTTCTGTCCTCCGTCCGCAATTCTGGACGCTTCGCGGGATGTGGAGGAGCATGCAGTGGAATTTGGGCTCGGGAAGCCGTCATATCCCAGGAGGGAGGTTGGAGGAGGAATCGTAGGAGGAAGTGGAGGAGGAGCATATGGGGGAGGAGGGAGGAGGGAGGAGGAGGAACAGGCGGAAGAGGAAGATGAGGAGGGGGAGGCGGAGGACGACCAGTGTAAACCCAAGGCGCATCAACGATGGTGCACGACTTGATTCTTATTGCGGGAAGTGTCTTATTGGAAGACAGCCGTCTGAGAATCCGCAACCGTGCAAAAACGCCACTCCTGGGACTTCCCCGCCGCGAATCAACGTGACTGTTGCGCCCTGACACACCTACATCGTCCCAGAGCGCGATTCCTGGTCTCCAACATCGCGAATCAACGTGACAATTGCGCTCTGACAATCCGGAATCGTGCCAGAAGACGATTCCTGGGACGCCACCCAAAAGAATCCTTACAGTTGTTGTAAAAGGTGGATGTGCGCGGCGATATGGCGAGGGCCACATTTTGAAAAGGAACCGCCCTCCATTCATGAGATCCTTGCAAAAACCTTGAGACGAATGTGTGCGGCGCTCATGCGAGAGCTACATTTCGAAAACGGCCCGCACTCCATCCGTGAAGCCGTTGC